GAAATCTTCACTGGAATGGCAGGTTTCCCTAATATTTTTTAGATTGTCATGTTTCTCAACATTCACCTGAATTGGTGTGTTTCTGCCCTCAATCGACGAATTCATGTTCTTGCACATGTTAATTAATTGTTTTCTTTATTTAAAATTAAAAACTTCAAAGGCTGCGCAATAGTTTACTTTAACCTTTACAGCTGCGCAATAGTTTTTAGCGTGCATGAGTTACAAATCTCAGTGGTTAAAAATTATCAAAATCTCAAATTTTATTGAAAACAAAACTTATACATGAAATTGTACAAGATCATGTACATTTTCTTGTACAAGTATATTTCTTTTACAAGATCTTGCACCAGATCTTGTACAAGATCTCACAAATGAACTTGTTCCAAATTCGTATGCATTTTCCTGTACAGGAACTGGTCAGAACTTGTACAAGTTCAGTTGCTGATCCTGTACAGGAAATTGTACAAGATCTTATACAGGGATTTTCAGTAGGGTTTTTCCTATTTTCTTCTTTCTAAATAGAAAACGCTTATTTATATACCACATATTTGAAATATTTCTCATGCACTAGAGTGCACTCTATTTATATTTTACTCCACATTAACGTATATAACGGACCATATGGCCTTCTCTAGAAGTATAGTCCCTCGTGATGGTAACTATTTAAGCTTAGCATTACTTTTTTATTATCACATGTGGTCGGTAATTCAGTTTCTATAGTATTTCACAACACTATTGAAATTAAATATATTTTTTATTATTATTAATTAATTAACCTCAAAAATACATCAATTTGATGAATTTAACAATTTTTTTAAATTATCCCAGATAGCACAACTTTTTGCAGCAATTTTGCAGCAAATTTGCAATGCCAAATTATAAGTTTACAATGTAAATTTGCTGCAAAACTGTGGCAAATAGCTATATGTCCTCGCTTTGCGAAGTTCGCATTGCAAGTTTGCAGAAAAATTTCTCAGAAAAATTGCAGGAAAATTTTATGACAAATTTTAAGAAAACTTGCGGGCATTTTTCGACAAAAATTAAAAAATGTCATTGTTGTAAATATGATGATATTTTGTTACTGCAAACCTTTCCTAAAGGAAAGGCGACTAAAATCTATTGCGCAGCCCTAAGTGCCATAGAAAACTACTGCGCATGACATGAACTTGAGCAAATTATCAGCAAATTTTCTTCAAGTTTGCCATAAAAATTTTCTGCAAATTGTATGTAAAATTTTTCTGCAAACTTGCAATGCAAACTTCGCAAAGCGTGGACATAAAGCTATTTGCCACAGTTTTGCAGCAAATTTACATTGCAAACTAACAAATTTGGCATTGTAAACTTGCTAAAGAATTGCTGCAAATTGTTGTGCTATCTGGGATGTGTAAAGTTCTACGTCATTTTACATTAATTTATTGGAAATATTAAAAAAACCAATAGATTGTAAACATGACAAGTTACTTTGCACAATTTATATTAATTTTTTAATATTTAATGCTTTATTTAACGCAATTAATAATAGAATTGAGTCTTTGCATATTTATTTTTCTTTTGCAACACAAATTTTTTCATATTTTGTCATTTTAACCTTTTTTTGCGAATTACCAAGTTTCTACCCAATGTCCACTCAATGCCTACTTTATTAAGTGGAAGTTGAGTGATTTTATTCCGCCAGGTGCACTCAATGAAACTAGGTGTTGATTTCATGACCATTTATATTCCGCATCATGAAACACTTATACATATTCAAGATTAAAAGAAAAATTACAAATAAAATAGCGATCAATTTTATAATTATTAATAAAATGTAAACTTTATGTACATCAATCGATTCGTTTACATGCCATGAATACAATTTTGACAAGAATTAATTAAAATTTCTATTTAAAAAAAAGTAATTTCAAAAAATGCAAAAAAATTTTTTTTTCAAAAAAATTATTTAATCTATAAATTTCAGTAAAATATAAACTTTATTTAGGTTAATATATTCGTTTTAATGCAAGAAATAAGTTTCTTTGCCAAACAAAATTAAATTTACACAGAAAAAAATATTTTGAAATTTTGAAAAATTTGTAAAAAAAAAATGTTGTGAATATATTCGGAAATCCTTGTGTCAGATTTTAGGTATTAATGATTACAATGAGCATACAAAATTTCAGGACAATCTGTTAAAACATTTCCGAGATAATTTTATACAATATTTTGTGATATACACACCCACATACATACACTCATACACGTACAAATGAAAATTTGCTCAGAACTTTATATATATTAATTCTTGATAAAAATGAATCCATATAACCTAATTTTAAAACATCGAAAATCGTCACAAATACAAAGCTTCCTCATGAGAATCCAAAATTAATATTTTTCAACGTTCTTGGGCACATTGGAATGATATTTTGTTATACAATTCAAATTATTTCAAAAAAATTTATGTTCACATTCTTCCCAGCAGTGAGTATTTAGAATTATTCACCGTTTGAATTTTGTTAAAAAATTTTAAGACTGCATTATATGAAAATTGAGAAAATAAGCAAGCGCTATGAGTTATGCATTTTGCTGGAGTTATACAATACCGTTGGAAATTGTCGGTACGGCTGACGTGCGAGGAGTAGTTTGGTGTTGACTTTAAAGCAAGATATTTTAAGTTAGGAAAAAGATAGAGACTTCTAACTTAGATGGATCGAAATCTGATAAAATTCTGCTTCTCAATGTATATCAAGAAATTGTTTTCTTTTGTTTTGGTCTTTATTACACAGAAATGATTTCAATTTTTAATTAATTAACTATTTTATTTTTTAATACCAAACGATGAAAATGGAATACCAAACGACTGCGTCAGTCAGGGATTGTAGGAAAAAAAAGAATTTTGAAAAACGGTAATGTCTTTTGCAGCACTCAATGAAAATATATTTTTTTAATAGTTAATTAATAAACTATTTTTTTCCCTGGTAGATTGTATGTGAAAGAAATGTAATATTTTTTTTAAATAATTAATATATTAATCAAAAATATTTTAAAAAAAACAAATTTTTATCAAAAAGAAAGTTGAAAAAAATTAATTTTAAACGGAAATTTTGGTGACAAAAAATGTATTATTTAATCAAAAATATTGATGAAAATTTTTTTTTATCAAAAAAAAGTTAAAGAAAATTCACTTAAAAAGGAAATAAGTGTGAAAAAATGTATTATTTTATTTAAAAAAATTAATATTTTTTCATGAATATTCCTTTTAAAAATTCACTATTGTATTAAGTAAATAAATAAATAAAAATTCAATCTTTCTTTAGCGATATTTTTGAAAAAATAATTCATTTTTTTAACGATATTTTTGATAAAAAAATAAATTTCTTACTACTATGTTCGTTTAAATATTAAATTTTTTTTACCAATATTTCCGTTTAAAATTAATATCTTTCACCTTTTTTTAAAAAAAAATTTATTTATTTCACAAATATTTTTAATTATTAATTTAATCGTTTTCAGCAATATTTTTTATAAAATAATAGATTTTTTCACCAATAATTGCATTTAAAATTAATTTTTTTCAATTTTTTTTGATAAAAAAATTTATTTTTTTCTCCAATATTTTTGATAAAAAAATGGTTTTTTACTAATATTTTTGATAATATATTAATTTTTTTGATTAAATAATAAATTTTTGTCACCAATATTTCCGTTTAAAATGAATTTTTTTCAACTTTTTTTATAAAAATATTGTTTTTTTACCAATGTTTTTGATTAATATATTAGTTTTTTGACAAAATAATAAATTTTTTTATTATTATTTCTCTTTAAAATTAATTTTTCTCAACTTTTTTTTGTTAAAAAAATTCAATTTTTTCACCAATATTTTTTATTAAAATATTAATTTTTTGATAAAATAATATACTTTTTTTACCAATATTTTCGTTTAAAATATAAGAGTTTTGCTTGTAATAAAAAAATACAGAAAAAATTAAAAGAAAAGAAAAAAGAATGCTGTCACCTACCTGCTAAAAAGCGCGGCTGTATTGATTATCGACAAATGTTAATAATAATCTGTAATAGATTGGAATTAATGAAAACATTAAATCTTTATAATTATTTAACAATATTGATGATGCGAATGCTCCATGAAGTTCGCGGAGCATTTGTGGAACAAGTGATTGAGATTGAAATTCTGTCTAAAATGTATAAAAAATCATGAAATAGATAGTACAATTATACTATCTATTTCGTCATTTTTTATACATTTTAGGCAGAATTTCAATCTCAATCACTTGTTCCACGAATGCTCCGCGAACTGCATGGAGCATTCGCATCATACAATCCGCCAGGGGGACATCATCTGATAATTTATGAAAACTTTGTTTTTAATTAAAAATAATTTTTTAATCAGAAAGATTGAAAATTTTTAATGTAAGTTCAGAACTTTCTGAGGGGAGTTTGAACCCCCAAACTCTCCCTTGCGCACGGAACGGCTAGGAACTGTTTAATTAAATGAAACGATGGACCTAAGAAGTAAATAGACCCAGCACCAAGCTGCGGGCCCTAGACTTGCATAGGTAAGGAGGGAATAGTTCTGTGCGTATGAATTGGAGGAAATTCGGTGATTGGTTGAACCGTGCGTCATGTATTGCAGACGACGCAAACTAGAAAGCGACTGTTTGTTGACATGTGCCTTCGAGTGTGCCTTGCAATTCCAAGTTGTGCGTTCCTTTAGAATATTAAAATAATTTAAGAAATAGTGAAAAAATATGAAAAATGTAATAATGAAACGTGTGAAAGTTCTCGAACCATTAAAAAAGATGGTAAATTACTGATCACCATTTTTTAAAGCTATTAATTAAATTATTGGTATTAATATTAATAGTTGATTATAATTATTTGTAATTTATTTATAATTTATTCGGCTTAATATACTTTTTTATTACATTATTTTATATTTACAATATATCTATTATATATTAAACATTTACAGAAAAATATTAATAAATTAATCAAAAAAAATTAAAATATTAATCAATTTTGTGGACAAAACTATAGAAATAGTATTCTTTAGATTGGAATTTACCAATTTTTTGTAAATTACTTTTTTAATTATGTTTCTCTTTTTAAATTACGCACAACAGCGCAAGCGTACTAACCCGCAATCAACGCACTTTCACCAAAGCTTCACCCTTTACTGAAGATCAGATCCCAGTAAAAAAAGTTGGATAGAATGATACGGTATTCCATATAGCAGCACAGTAGCTTGAATATAGAATTTGACTTTTTCCATATAGAACCGTTTGGTGCTATATGGAATTACAAGAAGGTCCTATATGGACAACTTTTATGGCTAGTTTAGATAAGAAATACAACTTAAAAGGACACAATCATTAATGCAGTGTGATTAATTTATTATATTAAGACAAATATTACAAACGAAATGCAAATTTTTTTTAAAAAAAGTAAATATTTCTTTGTCTATATTTGACAGTAGAAATGAGTAACTGTATTTTCCATTTCCAACAGTAAGTCGCTCTTCTTTATCGACAGTGGATATAAAATTTAACGCACAAAAATGTGATTTATGTAGTCAGTGTACAATAGAATGCGTTTTTTTAACAGTAAACGAAATTAAATTTTTTTAAATTAAAGTAGAGCAGCAAATGTAAGTAATTTATACACCGACTTTACAAATCACATTTATGCGCGTTAAATTTTATAACCACTGTCGATAGAGAGGAGCGACTTACCGTCGAAAAGGGAAAATACAGTTACTCATTTCCACTGACAAATATAAACTAAGAAACAGTTACTTTTTTTTATAAAATTTGCATTTCGTATATAATATTAGTTTTAATACAATAAATTAATCACCCTGAATTTATGACTTCTTCTTCTAAAGGTTCTATATTGAAAAAGTCAAATTCCATATTCAAACTACTGTGCTACTATATGGAATACCGTATCGTGCTATCCAACTTTTTTTTACTGGGCTTTACCCCCCTCGTCTAAAATAAGACTTTGAGCTGGGTCCATTTACTTCCTACGTCCATGAATGAGACGAAAACGTGCTTTTTCCCCACTGTGCGTCCTCAAAAATAATGTTGAAATAAGTTTAAAATGTAAAATTTTGCTGTGCATTTATCATATACTTTCGTGGCAGTGAGAAAAATTTAAGATGTCTAAACATTGGAACTTTAACTTTTTTTAAATAGATTATTCATGTACTACAATTATTTCAAATTTAAATGAAATATAAAAACGGGAAAATGTATTGGATGTTTATCTTTCATGTGTTTTTAAGTGAGATAGTATTTCGAACCGAAATTTTAAGCAATGAATATTTTTAATAGTGTTGCAATATTTCTAAGAACTTAGGAAATATTTTATATATTTTACACATAATTTTTCAAACGAAGTCGAGATATATCAGAATTTTTTTTATTTGAGTTTCAGTATGGTATATCTTGAGATTTTATGAGAGCAGATCGACCAAATTCGAAAAGCGACGGATCTGTGTATATTGGTTCACTGGGATCAATATTACTTCGTTGACTTGATTGATTTTCTTCTGAAGTTCTTCTTTGAGACATTATACTGCTTATAGCTCTGAAAAAAATTGCCAGATATAGTAGTGTTAATACTCAACTTTAATGATTATTAAAGAAATTAATTTTTGTATAGGTTAAAAGAATCAATTGTTTGAGGTCAACAATTATTGTAGGTAATAAATGGATATCCAAACAGTTAATTTATGCAATATGTTTGATAATTTAGACAATAATTACACAGGTACACTACAAATCCTTTTTTATTTATTTATTTTTATTTATTAACATTATTTTATTATTATTAATGCCGACGTATTAGGCTCAGGTCTTGAAAGGGCGCATAATTTATAAATAAATAATAAATGTAAAAAATTTTTGTCTTAAAAATAAAAATAATTACTAGGTTATGACTTATTTTTTTAGAATTCTACTTAATTTTAATTACCAGCAGGGCGACAGATACTACACACCTCCGAAGATTTAATAAAAATTTATTTTCAATGTTCACAGTATTTACAATAAAAATTATGTAAGGTTATGTAAATATTTAAATGTTCGCACTTGAGCAAATGTTTAGCGCAAGACTTGAGTGAAGCTTTAAATCAAATATTCGTTAAAGTTTTGGCTCGAAACTTGAGTGAAGCTTTAAATTAAATATTTGTTAAATGTTCGGCTCGAAACTTGATTGAAGCTTAAAAATAAATATTCGTTAAATGTTCGCCCAGTTAGCTGGGCTTTAAAATTATCTAAGTAAAGTATTACAGTATAGGGCCATCTATAAACTACGTTACCAATTTTACATTCTTTTTGGTATATATATGGTATATATAATAGAGGAGAAGATCGCTTTAATTCCGGAGGATAATAGAACAATTTTTAGGAGTAATATTTCAGGAAAATTGAATGATTTTTTAAAAATGAAAATTAAAAAGAGTCAATTATCCGACATAGAAATTTTGGGTAATAAAACTAAAAAATTCTTAAAAGAAAATAATGATATTGTAGTTTCAAAAGCGGACAAAGGCAATGTCACAGTATGTTTGGATAAAAAAGCATATATTGATGGTTGCATGAATCTTTTAAATGACCAAGACACCTATTGTAAATTAAAAAAGGACCCAACGAATGTTATTCAGAGAAATTTGAATGCAAAAATTGGTAACCTTTTGTTAAAGGGGTATATAAACTGTCCAACAGCAAAGTTTCTTAAAAGTTACAATTCAATCGCGCCTAAGTTTTATGGGTTACCAAAAATTCATAAAGATGGCATCCCCATGAGACCGGTAACATCTTTCTGTGGGTCTCCACTAGCTGCCTTGTCTAAATTTATTAGTGTCCCTATACAAAAAGTAATTAGAAATACCGATTCTTTTGTGAAAAATAGTTGGGATTTTGTTGAAAAAATTAAAGATTTTCACATTCCGAATAACTATAGATTAATTTCGTTAGACGTAAAATCTCTTTTTACGAATATTCCGAAAGAACTGGTTTCGAAATGTTTAAAGTTAAAATGGAAAAATATCAGGGATCATACCAAAATTTCTGTAAAAGAATTTTTAGAATTGGTCGAATTTTGTATGGATAGTTCTTATTGTCTGTTCCAGAATAATTTTTTTAAACAGATTTTTGGTACCCCTATGGGGTCACCTCTTTCTGGTGCTATCGCGGACTTAGTTATGGAAAAGTTTGAACAAGAAATTTTATTATCATTAGATTTTGAATATATTTTTTATTTCCGTTATGTTGATGATGTGATCATGTGTATTCCAGAAGAATCCATCGACATAATACTTGAAATTTTTAATTCTTATCATCCAAGAATTCAGTTTACTATTGAAAAAGAATCAAATAATTCTATTAGTTTTTTAGACGTTTTAATTATTAGAGAAAATAACAAACTTATTACAAATTGGCATAGAAAACCAACTTTTTCAGGACGATACGTGAATTTTAATTCCGAAATTTGTATTAAGGATAAAATTTCTATAATTTACGGTTTAGTTGATAGAGCTATTAAATTATCAGATGAAAGATTTCATGATGAGAATTTGAGGTTGATCCTTGATATTTTGAGAAAAAACAATTTTCCGTTAAAATTTGTTAAAAAATATATGAAACTGAGATATGATTCTATATTTGGTGTAGGCAATCGTGTCCCGGTTTTAAGAGATTTTACTTCGGAGAAAATGATTGTTTTGCCTTATTGTAGTGATCTATCCCGGTTTCTAAAGAATGTTTACAATGAATTTGGTATTAGAGTGATTTTCACGTATAATAAAGATCCTTATGGTTGCTTTAGTAAAAACAAGGATGCTACACCTTTCGAACTCCGTTCGCATGTGGTGTACAGTATTCCGTGTGAGTGTCGATGTGTATATATTGGTCACACCGAGAGATACATAAAGGATAGAATGAAAGAACACGAGAGAGACTGCAAGCGAGATGAAAGAAAATCAGCCCTTGTAAAACACTCCCATGAGATGGACCACTTTTTTAATTTTAAAGACGTTAAAATTTTAGGAACAGAAAGATATTACTTTCGAAGAATTTTTAAAGAAATGTTTCAAATAGTTAAAAATAATAATTCAGTTAACTTAAGAACAGATACAAATGCTCTTAATGATATTTACAGAACTTTAATTTTAAACACTAATAAAATTAATTTTTAATTTTGAATTATCCACCTCATGGAGAGAAAGCAATCTACTATATCGACATTATATAACTTTCAAAATCGTAATCTTAGTTTGCGTTTTCATATCAATAAACATGTGACTTTTAAAAAAACGGGGAAGGTTTCTCCTCCCCTTATTGTTAATTAAAAATTTAAATATATAGTCAATGTTTTTAATTTTATATTATTTGAAGGATTTTTTAAATTTTATGTGTGTTATGACTTATAATTATATATTAAAGATAGGAAAGTTTCAACACGTGATTGGTGAGTTTTGAGGTTAACTTCTTATGATATTGTATGGAAGTGTGACATGTATATTTATATTTTGTATACATTTTCAGATTTAACTCTGAAGAGGCTCCGCGTTGTGGAGCGAAAGCTTAGAAAAATTAAATAAATGATTTTTTGAAAATGATCAGAAGAAAAACACCTTTTTTAACATCTTTTTACTACAACTGAGTCAAACTGATCAACAATCTTACATCCTTTATATTTATTAATTAATTAATATCTCGAAAATAACAAAAAAGGACATCTCAATATTTTTTGTGGTGAAAAAACACATTTTTAGCTTTCAAAAAAAAAATAAATAAAAAAAATAAAAAGGACCGAAGTTAAAAAAAAATTTGAAAAAATGTTTAATTTTCAAAAAAAGTGTCAAAATTTGAATTTTTTAAAAAAAGTTTTGCACCATTCGAAAGAGCAGGAAAAAACCTTTCGAAAACATATGGGACAAATTTTTCTTCTTTTTTTTGTTTAAAAGTTACAAGTCTTCAAAAATTCACTGTTTAAATTTTTCAAAAAAATTCAACCCCCTCCACAGTGGTGCAAATCTGAAAATTGAGTTTCAAAAAGGTCTACAGGCTTTATTTTTCAACCGATTTTATTATTTTTTTTAACCCTCGGAGCACATACTGGGTCACACAGACCCTGTCATTAATTTCAATGAAGTGTAATTTGAAAAGTCGGCAATACAACACGAACCTAAGGCCATATAGTGGTAACTAACTAATAAGGAATAATAAGTAACATGATAATCCAAAGAAAATAATAAAATACTAGTAAATATGTTATTAAAAAAGTATAGTTTTAAAAAGTTGTGTCGAAAATCACATTTTTATCGTCTTAAAAGTTACCTTCGTTAAACTACAAAATAAATACCTTTTTTAAAAAATAAGGTGGTATTTTTTCCCTTATTCTAACACACTTCGAGAATATAAATCTCAATTTTTAGCTTAAAATATTAAAAATTACAAAAGTTACATTTTTTTTTAAATTCAATTTTTTCTTTTTAATTAGTTAACTTCACGAATTTTTTTTCAATATGCAAATAATTTAATAATATTTCTAAACTGCATATTCTTATTTTACAAGGTTCAATGAATAAAAAAATATTTTTTTTGTGTTGATCAGTCCAATAGTTCAAAAATGGGGGAGTTTTGTAAAGTAAGCAGGGTCACAGCGACCCAGACTGTGCTACTTGTTCGAAAAAAGAGGTGTGTGCTCCGAGGGTTAAATTGAAGCTTTTAACATTTAGAAGAGCTTTGTCGATACCTTTGATATAATTGAATATTATATATTAAAAAGTAGTGAAAATAATTGTTGTAGTACCCCTTAAACAAAAAAAAATTGTAGAGATAAAATTTTAAAAATTATAAACAAATAAAGTTAACAAACAATGAAAGTTACAACAAATTGTAAATTCAGATAATTTCTTCGATGAATTTTGATGAAATTCATTACTTGGGGGTTTTTGGGGTCGCTGATTACGAACCCGATGTCGGTTTTTTAAAATTCAAAATGGCAGATCCAATATGGCGGACGACTTTTTGAAAAATCGATCCAAGTCGCATGAAAATCGTTACTTGGGGGGTTTTTGGGGTCGCTCATTGTGAATCCGATGGCGGTTTTTCAAAATTCAAAATGGCGGATCTAATATGGTGGATGGTTTATTAAAAAATCTATCCAATATGCCTGATAAAAGTTACTCGGGGGGTTTTTTGGCGTCGCTGATTACGAATACGACGTCAAATTTTCAAAATCTAAGGTAAAGAATACAACATAAATACATAAAAATGAACCAATACAACATACAATCAAAGTTTTTTAAGTTTAGATATGTACAGCACAGTTCATTAATCTTAGTTTAGAATTTGGAAAAACCGACATCGGATTCGTAATCAACGACAGTTTTTGAGAAAACCGAACAATACTTCGTGGTTACATTACTCACCCCTAGGGCTAAACTATGTGCAAGTAACAGCCCTATGCGATTAACTTTTTTTTCATTTAGTTCGCTACAGGAATTTTACCCCATATATATTTTTGGTATATACCCTCCGAGACCGGAACCGAGGTCCTGTCAATAAAGAGAACAAAGA